TTAGTTTAGAAGTATTTTAATTTACCTAAAACAGTTTGTGACAGAAGTAGTCTCCAGTATTGATCTACTAAACAACAGAAACGACCGCAATTTGAACTTAGCCGTCTGTATCAAGTATTTTGTCGGGTGATGAAGACCACTGTTTAACTAATTAAAACGGTTCTTTATGTTGTTGATCTGTATGGCCAGTGAGGATCTTCTATGACCCTTAGCCAGCACACGCCAGCATGTTCTGTTTCTGTAGATCCAGACTCTAACACCCTGACCTTCCAAGTTGTCACAGCATTTTCAAAATACCCATAACACAACTGACAAGACGACTACCGGTCTCTAGACTAGATAAGCTAATTATCCGACTTTTGTACATTTGTCTTTTGAGTACCTACAACTGACAGATTTGTAATGTTTCTACAAAATATGACTTCGCAGTAATTATTATAATTTTTCTTCATCTCACTAAAATAATTCTATCTCGCTATTTTCGCATTGATGTCTAAGTATAAACTGTCACCTTCTTCTCTGTTCACTTCCATGTTGTCACGATGTTATAATGTTCTGTCTCATCTTCCATATATGCTAACTTCTTTTTCGTATAGCCCCCCCCCCCTCCCTCCGCCCCCCGCCCCCACCATTTTTGATGATTATTTCTGTGCAAGTCGGGGTGTGCATAATTGACAACTGACAAAGAGGTCAGTTTAAAATGTTCCTTAAAACTAAAAAATGTCAGCGTGTGTACTCTGTAGGTAAAGTCCAAGGTAATTTACGGTTTGAATGACGCCATGTTGTATTACGGCAGAACACACAACACAAGCCTCTAGAATCGTTGGGCAAACACAGACGTGACAGTGTGAGACTCATCAGTCGTTCACTTCAAAAGCGCTCTCCTGGTCGTGTTTGACAGTCTGTCTGTTGTGTTAGACATTCATTTGATTGAATACAGTCATGTTCTCCAAACTGTGATCCGCGGACCGGCAGTTGTCCGCGGAAATATCCTGGTTGTCCGTTACAAATGTCCGCTCAATCTTAAAGCAGCTGCAGGCGAGATCAGACGTAGAAATCAAATGGAAGTTATTGCAGGGCTTTATCTGTTAGAAACAGTATTCCAGATTTTATAACTTTTAGCACCAGCCTTTATCGCATTAGACAAAATTATAACTTTACATTATTAGATTTAACAAGCAAAACATAGATTACATTTGTTTTTGTTCCCGTCTTTGCCGTTAGCCGGTGGGAAAATTACTTCTACTATTTCTACACCGCAGGTGTTTAGGAAACAAACGGTATAGAACATTCTCACAGTTGTTTTCGACCAGTGATCCCCAAAATTTGCCGCAACCAGGGGCAGTTTGAGGCATTGAATAAAATGAGACCGGGGGGGGGGGGGGGAGGAGGGGGAAGGAGAAAGAAAGGCACACTGTCTGTCTGTCTGTCTGTCTGTCTGTCTGTCTGTCTGTCTGTCTGTCTGTCTGTCTGTCTGTCTGTCTGTCTGTCTGTCTGTCTGTCTGTCTGTCTGTCTGTCTGTCTGTCTGTCTGTCTGTCTGTCTGTCTGTGCGCGCGCGTGTGTGTGTGTATGCGTCCGTGCGGGCGTGCGTGTGTGTGTGTGCGGGCGTGCTTGCGTGTAAGTGAGTAAATGGGTTTGCTCATTAGTTGTAGTAAGGGTCCATGTTTGGCACTGGTAGGTAGCACAATGTCGGCTAAAAAAAACCGTTCTTATAAGATTTGCTTGGTTGACAGAGATATCTTTCTATGGGTCAGAAGCGGTGTTAATTGTCCCACATTCTGATTTGCTTTCGCACGTCTTATGTTGATTTCTCTATCCTTTCTTCAATCTCAGGTGAAAATAACCCTAGATATTTAAATTCGCTTGTTTGTTTTATTTCTGCGTTTTTTACTTTAATTGATATGGTTTCTTCTTATCTACCTATTACCATTGCCTCTGTCTTGTCAATGCTTATCTTCATGTTATATTTCTCACACTTAGTATTGACTTGGTCTTTTTTGGTTCTATAAACTCTCTTCTGTTTCAGCTATTATTACTTGGTCATTGGTAAATAACAATTCTGAGATATAATTCGTTTCTTCGCTCTCTGCTTCTTTGTATATATTGTCCATGTATGTTATAAAAAAGCAGGAGAAAAAGCACACATCACTTTATTACTCCTGAAAGCGCTTCAAAAGGTTGCGATATACTTACTTTTGTTCGTGTGCAACTTTTACTTGATGTTTATAAGCTCTTAAACACTTTAGTTAGTTAGATGTTTGCTGATTCCGTATCTTCTTAAGCACATCCTGTAAACTTATTCCTATCCACTCTGTTAAATGCTTTTTCCTGATCTATAAATGCGACTTTGCATGTCTTGGGCTCCAGCTGCTTTGATGGCTTCTGTAGAGAGATGGTCAATACCAGTCGCTTTCTGTCTGTGCACGGTTTTATTGTTGTGACAATAATTAGATTATATGACATTGTACCAAACTTGTGCTTTCAACACGCGGCAAGGAAACTTTTAGACTTACCAACTGACTGTGGGAACTCAGTAACATATCTCACTCAAACTAGTGTCGAGAAGATCATTGACTGTGGGGACTCAATAACATATCTCATTTAAACTGGTGGCGAGAAGATCATTGACTGTGGGGACTCAATAACATATCTCATTTAAACTGGTGGCGAGAAGATCATTGACTGTGGGGACTCAATAACATATCTCACACAAACTAGTGTCGAGAAGATCATTGACTGTGGGGACTCTATAACATATCTCACTTAAACTGGTGGCGAGAAGATCATTGACTGTGGGGACTCAATAACATATCTCACACAAACTAGTGTCGAGAAGATCATTGACTGTGGGGACTCAATAACATATCTCATTTAAACTGGTGGCGAGAAGATCATTGACTGTGGGGACACAATAACATATCTCACTCAAACTAGTGTCGAGAAGATCATTGACTGTGGGGACTCAATAACATATCTCATTTAAACTGGTGGCGAGAAGATCATTGACTGTGGGGACACAATAACATATCTCATTTAAACTGGTGGCGAGAAGATCATTGACTGTAGGGACACAATAACATATTTCATTTAAACTGGTGGCGAGAAGATCATTGACTGTGGGGACACAATAACATATCTCATTTAAACTGGTGGCGAGAAGATCATTGACTGTGGGGACTCAATAACATATCTCACTCAAACTAGTGTCGAGAAGATCATTGACTGTGGGGACTCAATAACATATCTCATTTAAACTGGTGGCGAGAAGATCATTGACTGTGGGGACACAATAACATATCTCATTTAAACTGGTGGCGAGAAGATCATTGACTGTGGGGACACAATAACATATCTCATTTAAACTGGTGGCGAGAAGATCATTGACTGTGGGGACTCAATAACATATCTTACTCAAACTAGTGTCGAGAAGATCATTGACTGTGGCACTTGTGTATCTTCTCTTTCTCTCATTCTACTCTTTCGCCCATAAGTAAAGCCATCTTGCTATCGCACCCCCCCCCCCACCTCTCCCGGTTTTTCCTCAGTTCTTTTTGTTTGTCTCAAGGGCTTCTAATTATGATCGTCATGAAGCAGGTCCTTTGCAGAAGGTCATTCTCATCACGCTTTCTGCTTGGAAGAAACTCCTTGTCGCCAGCTCTCCCGCACTTTCATTTTCAAGGAGTCCTGCCCCATCTTTGTGTGTTGGTCTTCCCCTGCCTCTTTTCCTGGTAACATGCCTTCTGCTGTTACATTTTTTAAAATCCGCCATGGTACAATTCTAGTATCCTGTTGTTATGCTGTGTTTGTCTGTAATCGTACATTATTAGCATTTGGAACATGGAATAGTTAATAATGTACGATTACGATTAGCATTTGGAACAAAGGAATATTTTCGTATGGGATAAAACCGGCTCAGTGAAGTCGATCCTCCCGACTTTAACCTTTAACCTTTTTAACATGGAATATCGCAACAGGGTTACGAAAAGAAAAGTTAGAAACTCTAAAATAGAAATGGAAATAATAAATATTCATATTCATATTCCTGATATATCACAATTCAGATGGAAAGGAACGGAATCAGTATTCAGTACTGAGGAAGGAAACACCACCATGTTGAATCCATAAACAACACAAATAGTGACGAATTTCTGGTCACTCCCAGAAAGTGTGATTACAGTATAACTGAAACTATTGCCCTTTAACTTATGAATGATACAGATCTGTTTCCCCGCTAGACAACAGAACGATGCAGAAATCTGACAGTTGAAACAAAGAATATCCAGTCAGAGCAGAGTCAAGCAAGTGTCCCTTTACACGACAGTGGCGCATAGGGCATATCAGGCTGGACTTATATTTTTGTTTTATAGACTAAGATGGGGGATATGGTCAACATCACGCATGCCGCCTTTACTTCCCAGTACTTCACCTGTTTCCCTTTAAACGCTGGGTCGACCTGAACTAAAGCAGGATATTTTGATTGTAATGTAGGTTTCAAGTAATTGTATGGCAGTGGCGGATGAGGGCTTTATGATTCGTTTATTTTGTGAAAACTAAACAAATACGGCCGGGATTTTAAATAAAAAATCATAAACACTGCCAGACCCAATCTATAAAAAAAACGTGATGTAAATCATATGGGGCAAGACAAATACATATAATATGCCTCACATTGTAGAGATGGCTCCATAAAGACGCGAGACATTTGTCACTAAGATCTTACTTTTCGGAAACACATGGTCGCCTCACTGAAGTATACGCTGGACTTTGTTTTGGCGGTCTGATCATTTCATAGGATACACACAAGAGCCTTAATGTCACTGCTGCATATTGAATAGTTTTGTGACTTCCTTCAGCCTCTATTTTTGCATGTCTTCCGGGGTAAAGAGCATTTCCGTGGTTGATCTGTCATAAATGTCCAAGCCCAATGACACGGTTAGAAATAAACCAGAGATTATTGTTAATAATAAACCCATGTTTTACAGTTATATTTAAATTGCAGCTCTAAACAGTGATCAGTGGCACACCGTGGATCTGCGAGTGGATGTGAACAAAGCAGAGATGAGGCTCACGCTCAACGAGGAAATCAGTCGAGAGACGATCAAAGCCTACTCCTGGGGGAACGCTGCAGAAGTCCTTGACTGGGGCCATCTAACAACGTTGGTCTCCCTTGGCGGTGAGTTTTCCATTATTGATCTTGATTAGACTTAAAGCTATTACTTTCAAGTGCAAACATTTCCCATTAAAGATATCAGACTGTTGGTAACACATACTAACGTACACCAGCTTCACAACGTAGTTGATTCCAAGAAACAAACTAGGCGCTGATGACTTGGGCAAGCATGACAGGTTACCATCCACACTTGGGAGATACAGAAGCAGCACACACAAAAAGACCTGGCTCAGTGCAGAAATTTTCGCCTGTGAAGTCTATGAAGGTTTTCAGATGAGAAAACAGACATGTTCAGCCGCAGTAGACTTAGAGGATACGTACAACAGAGTAGCATTTGAATGAATACTTTGTGCACATACTTCTGCAACTGGAACCATGACTACTACTAGCAACATGAGACGATGGAGGTGATGTAGGTGACACAAGCTTTCATGAGGCTATAATCACATGATTATTCCCACGTGCGTGTTCTGAGTGATTCTGTGAGCATGATCCGGCGGGTCGAGGCAGGCTCCATGCACAAACAGTAGACTGAGTTATTAAAAAACTCTCCTGTGTGTGCAGTTACCTTCATATTTGTTCCAGGTCATGTAGGTGTTGCTGGCATTGAAAACACTGATAGACTAGCAGGTTCCGTATTAATTGCATTTGGCCGGCCCATGGATCATGCTGACATTGTCAGTGACCTTAGAGAGACAGTGTGTTCCAAGTATTTTGGAAGCAGTGTGTCCACATCACTGCTAAGAATACAAAAATTTGGTGTAAAGATCTGCACAGCCAAGCATGAGAAGCACACTTTACGCATACAAAGTCTTGTCAACCAGCATAAGACTGGTACTATTAACTGCGCAACGCTGGTGAATACTTTGAAGGGAGAATCTGAGCCCCTAATCGAACGAACGAACGAACTTTATTTTCAAAGGGTTACAGTGTGTCCGGGGTGCTGCCATGATAATCTAACTCCTAATTGAGGTACAACGATATTAGCTCTGAGTCCCATGCCTCCTCATAGCGCAATATAACACTATAGTATGCAAAGACAGAAAGGTGCCAGAAATCAGATCAATCATGTGGAGATTTTAGATCGGACCCACAATTAACGGTAAAACTGTAAGAATATGCAGACAAACAGGTCTTCTGTATAGGGCTGATAAAAAACACTCTTTACTTACAGAAAATTGGCAAGTGCGCAAATGCGAGGGTGTGCGGAAAATTAGCGGCTTATTGTATCACTGACGTCAGTATCGACGCCAAAAAATGGAATCACCAAATATATTCCATACACTGCTTGGTAAACTAGAAGCAAGAATGATCTCTATCCACATGAAAAACAAATCGGTCCTGTCTTATACTTTCGGAGGTACAGCTTGCGGGCCGATGCGCCACATTCTCGATTTTCCAACTGTGAAGGACAGAATTCAAATTTTTCGAGCAGGTGCCTACCTCAAAGTCAACGCAGACACACGACATCTGCTGCATGGTGAAATTAGGAAGAAAAAAGGCAGCAGGTTAAAAGGAGGAAAATCGTTGATGCCATCATCCGCACAATAAATAAATAAATTAATTAATAAATTAATTGAAAAAATAAATGCAAAATATTGGTGAAATCGGTAGGAAGATATTAGATCGCATGTTGCGGATATTCGTAATAAGGCTCTTTAAATTGTCTTCCTACATTTTAGCAGTTCTTACCACCAAGGCGAAAGCAATATTTCAGTCACTGCTAATAAATCTTTCCCTGGTGATCAAACCAGCCGTCATAACTTCAAAAATCGTTTCATTTATAGTTTTGGCATTCTCAGTCCTGGAGAGATCCATTTTTTAATACAGCTTAATTTAATGAAATTTTACCTTATTAACATATCTGTTAGTTTAATTTTTCTTATTTCTCCCTCTCTGTTATCATTCGCCTCCTTACTTATTGGACTTTTTAATTCACACCCCCCCCCCCCCTCCAGTTATGTGCTTCTTGATGTCATGTTGAACGTGGTTTTTAGAAGCTCTGTTATCTTGTCCGGTAAGTTTACCAGTCACATATTGTGTTGTATTTAGTACTCCGTTGATAAAGACTGGTCGAAACGTCCTGTGTTTTTTTTTATGTGCCTATTCTCTACCCTCCCTTAATCCCGTTGAGCTTTCTAGTCGCATTTTATGTCGCATTTAGCAATTTTTAAATCAGGCACGCTGACACCAGTCAATGCTGAAGTAAAATCAAAGTGTTTAGGGCAAGGAAACTATGGAGGGAAATTATCAGGACGCATTTTATCCTCACCTTCAATATTAAGGGTCAAGTATCATGTGCACATTTCCCAGAATACTTTATCTATCTGTCTCAACGTTTGTTTTAACAACACGAAGGAATTAATTTTTTTACAGCGTTATTTATTACTTCAGTATATTGTCTTTTAGTTATGAATAATAACTGCAAACTAGTTTTTATCCGCATCCAGTCTCATGCTCAGTGTGTACACATTCAGCTGTTTCCACGTAATGCTTCTGGTATTTCCGCAGGTACCAAGAGAACATCGGTGGATTTCAAGCCTTATGTTGGGTGTATCACAGACGTCATGTATGCACTCGCAGATGGCACTTTGACAAGTCCTCATTTTAACACTACTGAGGGTGTGGCAGATGGATGCGTGGACCGTTGTCAGGGCGACAGGCTATGTAACTTGGGCAAATGTGTCAATGACTACACCGCCATGCACTGTGACTGTTATGGTACTGATTATGAAGGTCAAAACTGTGAAATTGAAGGTAGGAACTGTCCATTTATTTATCATATATGTTTGTGTTTGTGTACTCTTGCGTTAGTCCTTCACTTCTGACCATTTAAACCACTCAGAGTTTTAATTGTTATCATACTGTTAGTGACTCATTATTCATTACAATCTGTTTAACATCAGTATCATCATAATAAATTCCTCTTTTGTCGTTAAGCGTCATAGGGTAAATCAATTTCTTGATGCGCTGCAGATGCTATTGTCCATCCAGTGAAAGTAAAATGTAAAAGATCCCTTTCCACACCTCTAGGTGGATTGGTCATATAGAGTTTTCCCTATATAGACCAGTTGACACTTGGTGGGTAATGTGGTCAACATCGCGCCGGCTGCCTTTACTTCCCAGGACTGCACCTGATATCTACTCAAGGCTAGGTCGACCGGGGAGCCAATGTCATTTTCATGTCAATGTAGACTGTCTTTGATGTCATCAGTTCGTTTTCTCATTGGTCTCCCATTTTGCTTTCACATCAGATTTTCTCAGCTGTAGCGCCTCCTATTGGTAGTTGTTGTGGCTGCATTCTAATGAGATGTCAGAACCTGGGATCTTCTGTTCCTCAGTGAATCTGGTGCACGGTGTTGTTCCCACAGTCTGCATTATTGTCTCATTTCTAACTGTCTCGGAGGGTTGAGCTTGTGACTTTCCTTTGTTATCTCATCTCGCGTGTGTTAGTTTTACGTGGGCTGGCCTTTCTAAATGTCCCAGTTGGGTACTGGTAGCACTCTGTTGGTATGAATATGTTGTTTATAATCTGTTCTGTGGCGGTCTTACTTATGTTTGGATATCTTAATATCGACATCATTTGGTTTGTTATTGTTTGTTTTAGTATCCTGAAGCCATGAGTTGTTAACCCTTAGGCTCGGTATTATGAATATCGCAACCTTTCGGCTTTGATTCCATTTTAAATACCGTAAATCTGGGATAAATGTGGCTTTTCTGCCTACCCCCGGGAGTGAACCCGGACCACAAGGAGTTCGTCACCAGCTCACCGCGCAATCCGGTTTAGCCAACTACGCTAGAGAGACGGGCACATCATTTGGTAAATAAGAGCACTGGCGCTTTGACATCTTGTTTCTATTTCCCGATTTACTCTGCTGCCCTCTGGGAATATACTTCTTAGATATTTAAATTCATATATTTTACTATTTGATCTGAGCTTCTTGTCTTCTTCAACGATAGAATATATAAGAAAGTAAATGCTTTGAAGGCATGTATAGTTTCTGTCTCAATATATTATGTGATGCAGGTTCCTTTCATAATCAGTAAAGAAGACAATCGAGTTTTTTAAACTTTAAAGTTATAGAAAAATCCTCAGTATATGTATGGAGAAAACAATTGATATTTGACAGTATTTGAGGGTCTTAGAAGCTGAAATACTTTCTCATATTAATCCTCAAGGTTGTCTAGAAAGATAGTGAATAGAATGTGTGTTGTTAGCAGGTAAGATAGAGGTCCAGGAGACTAGCGAAAAATCCGTCCGGCGGGTTGAGGTGACGGCGATATTGAGAGAGAGAGAGGGAGAGAGAGAGAGAGAGAGAGAGAGAGAGAGAGAGAGAGAGAGAGAGAGAGAGAGAGAGAGAGAGAGAGAGAGAGGAGAGAGAGCATTGTGTGCATGTCTTTGGCATATAATGATCACACGAATCCCATGACTATTGCCAAACGTTATTGATCCTGGAATATAAACAATGCGAATGTTCGTGGTAAACGCTCCTTTGTTTTACTATCAAACGTTGCCTATCAGCTGACAGACATGGGCGTAAAGAGCACGGAAGCCAGAATGTCATGTGAAATCTCAAATGCATAAATAGGTAATAAATAAATAGAATTTTTTGAAATAATTAACATACAAATATAGCAATCGTGTATACATAATACATGCAGCCAATCATACTTAATACAATAAAATGGAAAGGCTGAACGTATGTAGAAATGAAGTGTCATTAAATGAAAATGTAGATGCTTACCTAAATAAATTACGAATTCAAGAAAGATATACAAAAACAATATATGCTTGTAAATATGTAATTCGGAAATGTAATAATGTCATGTGAAATGATGATACTTATGAATAATGTAATGTATAATTACAGTGAATTATCGGTGTGAACTTTTTATGAACCACCTCGCTAACACAAACATCTGAGTACTAGAGTGAAAACCACTATAGCTAAACACAATGAACTATCTCTCTATAACACACGCGTTTTACTGCCTACTACCACTTGAATTATGGCGCTCCTTTGATTCATTCCCCAAAATGGCGGCATGCCACATTCTGGCCATAAAATATCCGAACATATCCCAACGACGGTGTTCGCGTATATCTAAAATACGGACTATCTGCCAAGGAACAAATCGCGGCAAAACTAGGATTACTTGAAAATCAATGTCAACATTTGCACACGTTAGTAGTAGCAAACGATAAATACCGACCATTGACAACAATTTCGAGCGTTTCTGCAGAGACGATACTAGCAGACGATATTAGCGACCGTTGACCAATTTCGAGACATTACAGACGATGAAAGCAGATTGTCAATACTGTGTTATTCCGATTGGAGGATTTAGCAGCGGTAAATGTCAGACTTATCTGCATGCGCCAAACGCGATTAAACTCATCGCCGAGCGTATCCCCCGCGCTAGGTGCCTGCGACTCACGAGAACAGTAATTGGAGGAAGTTGCAGGAGATGCGGTAGCTTTCGCTCATGAGTCCCAGCCATCTAGTTTAGTCCCTACGCTCGGCGGTGAGGCACACTCGCAGAAGCAGGTCGGCAAGTAACGTATCGTCGAGACCCTGTCAGAGCCATTTGTTTCGTTATCCGGAGCCGGCAAATATATTTTTAATAGAACTGACACGCATTCGGATATTGTATGGCCAGAAATTGGCCAATTTAGCTCCCTTTTGAACGCCATCATATTAAAGCCGCCATTTTGGGGAACGATTCAAAGAAGAGCCTGAATTATAAAACCGTCAATCTAATATGTTTTCACAGAAAAACTGTCGCTAACCTTAAGTCAAACACGCAAACATTTAACGGTCCAAACACCACTTAACTACGTTCAAGTTTATTTGACAAACTCCCCGATACACGGTTTCCCTGTCGCTTTTGTTCAGTACTCAACTCATTGTCCGGTCCCTGAGAACCTCCTGGACCCGGGCTTGATTAGTTCGCTATGCGCTGGCCTGTTCGAAGTCTCATGGACTGTTGAACATATGGTCGCTAAACGGTCGACTAAGTTCTAGTCCACTATTCACCACCATTATACACCGCCATCTTATAGCCACACAGACCCTTGACAGTAGATATAGAGCATAACTTTTAGTTTGGATTTGTCCTCGACGTAAACGGATCTGTTTACTGAGAACTCGGTGTTGTAACCGCCAGGACAGACAGACAGACCACGCATGCAGTGTTGGCGGACAAGTAACATGGTCTGCCAAAAACAATGACGACGATGGCATATATATATATATATATATATATATATATATATATATATATATATATATATATATATATATATATATATATATATATATATATTTTGTGGTGTAAGAAAGTGGGCCTCAGTGTGAATAATGAGAAGACAGAAGTAATGGTGGTATCAAAGAAAAGAATTATTTCTAAATGTGTAATAAAAGTCGGTGGTGTTTTTTTAGGACAAGTACAGAAATTTAAGAATATGGGCACACGGATAACGTAAGATGGAAGATGCATAACTGAGATAGGAAACAAAATACGGAATAGGACAGGCAAAAACTGTATTTTATAAAATGAAGAACATCTTGTGCATCTTGTCATTGAGAGTTAGAAAAAGAATTCTTGCTTGCTACATACATCCAGTTTTAACATATGGCTGTGAATCCTGGACAATCGGTAGACAGGCCAAACAATTTCTGGAGGCCTCGGAGATGTGGTTTTACAGAAGAATGTTTAGAATACCTTGGACAGCCAAAAAGAGCAACCAGGAGGTTTTGAAAGATGCGGGAGCCCGAAGACAACTACTCACAGACATCAGAAGGAGACAGTCATCATTTTGCGGCCATGTTATGAGAAGAGGGAAAATAGAACATGTTTTGACCACTGGAAAGATCTGTGGAAGAAGAGATAGAGAAAGACAACGAGAGAAGATGCTTGACAGTCTTGTTGCATGGCATGAAGGTGTGTCGGCACACGAACTGATACATGCTGCAGGAGATCGTGGATTTTGGAGAGGCATGATCGCCCATGCCAGTCGGCAAGGCACCTGATTATATATATATATATATATATATATATATATATATATATATATATATATATATATATATATATATATATATATATATATATATATATATGCATACACATACATCACATATGCACGCATACGTATACATAAATACACACAAACATATATACAAACATATATATTTGTGTGTATAAATTAGCCTACATCCTGGCTGATTGATTTATAAAGGTTCAGATCAGAAATTTATGGAGACCCATTGCCTCTGACCTTTACCGCGGAGATGCCACTACGTGATGATATGTTATATTATGTATTCATTTTCCCGTTACGGTTGCTGTTTAGTTTAGAAAAATCTAACTGCATATTTTGAGACATCTTTTAAGATGGCATTGCCGATTGGGTTTCTCCCGTGACTTGGTTATGACCGATCCCGGGCTCTTTTGGCCAGACCAGTGCAGCAAAACTACACTTTGATCTTGGCCGAAAGGCCGAGAAGCGATCTTTTTGTTTTGGCAACATGGGTGACTTTTGTGAAGTGTAGATTTTTGTATCTATGTAAATGCTCTTTACTCCACTGTTGGCATCAGCAGGTTCAGGAGTACGCTTTAAGTTAAAAAGAAAAAAAATATTGCTGCTGTTTCAGTGCTGATAAACAGTTCGATATTCTCGTCTGCTTTACTTGTCAAAATAACTACACACGTGATATCGTTCGCAAACTAGCATATTCCAGTTTATACCTCTC